ACCAGAGGAGTCGCCCCCTGGTGGACACTAGAGAGAATGCAGGTTTTGCAAAAGGCAGTTTCATGATATGTCCCCTTTAAAATGTTTGTGAAATGAGGAAACATTGTGGTAAAATGTTGAAACATTCATATTTATTTCATTAGACTAGAAGGTATAAATGACATACCAAGGTTTCCTTAAAAAAAATGGATTTATTTATTTAAAGGAATGTCTTCGACATTTAAAGTCACTGATTTGATTATGAAAATGATGATGATTTAAAAGAAATCAGTGTCGTAACTCTCCAAAAATGCCAATTCTGTAGTGTTGTAATGCTCTTTATGCAGAAGTAAAGAAGTGTGTAGGAACCCTGTTCGGTTCGGTTCACTTCCTGTGATGTCACTGTGTTAACGCGGTTCGATTCCGTCAGATCGTGTCCAGTTTCAAAGCAACCACGTCCAGAGCCGTGTGCCAGCTGGTCAGAGAGTATGTCGGCCACAGAGACGGCATCTGGGACCTCAGCGTCTCCAGGACTCAGCCTGTGGTGCTCGGTACTGCGTCAGCAGGTACTGCACTCATTTTCTCCCTCTTCCTTCTCTATTCTTCTCTTAATCTGTGTCTTAACAACTTTATTCTGTCCCTTCTGAACCCCCAAAACCTACCGGTGGGATTGAAATGCATGTTTTCTTTAAACAATCGCCAAAACTACACCGTTTATCACAGCCAGAAGCTGTAAAAACTGACATTACAGTCAGATGTTCATCTTTCAGACGGTCCTTGAACACATCATTTGTGACAAACGCTTCTGTCCGAAAAAGTAAAGAAACTTAAAATTGTGATATTTCATTAAAAACACTTTATTCTACAAGTTTCATTTGAAATATCGCCTTAAATACAGCGTTTGGTAACATTTGTAACACTTGTGGACACTTGACAAATGTTGCATGTATAGATTCCAGTGTTTTCCAATTTTTGTAAAGACATTTGTACATTTAACAGTCACTGTTCAATGTACACAGTAGTAAACATACTGTAACTCTTCTTCTCCTGTTTTCTTATTGTTTCCATATTGTGTCTCAACAGACCACTCTGCGATGCTGTGGAGCATCGAGACGGGAAAGTGCCTCCTCAAATATATGGGCCATCAAGGATCAGGTAGAGTTGGAGACGGAAAGTCCACTTAAACTCTCTTCAGGACTGTTCTTCTGAAGTGTTATAAAGTTATCGTACAGCACGTTATTGGAAAACATTAACATTCTGTTTTGTGACGTCATGTTTTGTCTCCGCAGTCAACTCCATCAAGTTCCACCCGACTGAACAGATGGCTCTGACAGGTAACCGTCATATTCTCATTTAAAATATTAAGCGTGGAAACGCATCATAAAACTCACGGATCGGATCAGCACAAAAGAATAAAGGGAGCAAATAGAACTTTTATTGATCCCCGATCACGCCTTCTTTTTTGCCTCTGATACCAACTGCCGATCATTGATGACCCGTATCAGCAGATACTGATCGTTTTTGATGCTTTCTTTTGTTCTAGCAGCTCGTCTACAAGACTCCATCGTCCCAAAAATAAAATCTCCTCCTGTTGGTTTAAACACTGATTGGTTGTTTACAATGAAACATGATCAGAGATCAGAGACTAGAAACACATGATTGTCCTGATCACATATTATTTGATTGAATATCGTCCGATAGCGATCGTCAGTGAAACTTTATCTCACGCTGTGATGGTCGTCTTGACTCTTGAGTGTTTCTGTCTCACCTCTCTCCTCCTCAGCCTCCGGAGACCAGACGGCCCACATCTGGAGGTACATGGTGCAGCTGCCGACTCCACAGCCTGTTGCTGATATCAGTGTAAGCATCAACGG